TTGATTTTCGGATTCCGCATGAATTGCTTCAAAAAAGTCTCTTGGACCATACCCGAAAACCTGACCCATCTCAAGATATAGCGGTTTTCTCAAAAAGAAGACAAACGAAAGAGGACGAAACGTAGGCTCATTTCACTCGGTTACTGTAACTCTGCTCAAACTTGATTATATGAGCTCATCTTTTGGAATTGAGCTAGTTATGATCATAGCATCATTTTCTGAAAATTATAGCCCAAAATAAAATTTCGATTTTTTTCGAAAAAAAAACTTTCATAAGGGGGGACCCTTTGGTGTTTTTCGAAAAAACCGATATATCTCAAGATGGTATGGTCCAAGAGACTTTTTTGCAGCAAATTTAATGGGGAATCCAAAAATCAAATAAAATTTTACTCCCTATATTCAAAATTTTCGAGAAAAAGTGAAAAAACCCATATTTCAAAATTATTTAAGCCACTTCCCGAGTTCGTAGATGGCTCAAAAATTTATTGGAGATGCCCCAAGGGTCAAATATCAACCCACCAAAGTTTGGAGACAATATCTCAAAAATGAAAATTTTTTGAATTTTTGAGCTGAAAATCATGTTTTCAGCTATATTTTCCGACGATGACGTCATAGGGGTCTAGTAACATGTTTATCATAAATCACTCATATGGGTGCATATATGATCCAAAAATCATACGGATCCGAACAACTTTTTGCAACTGTGCCAAGGCCTAGCACTAAAAGTCTCTCGCTTATAGATAGTGCCTCTTAAACTCATCTAACACTTTCTCTGTTTCGAATACGAATCCATCTTGAGTAGTTATATAAGCTCCCTCCAAGTTCGGATAGTTCCCATTCAACCAATGTTTCACGAATGTAACAATGTCCTCCTCCTGAAGCAATGAGCATTCCAATATGATATATTTTCCAGTAAAATTTAGAAGATGTTCAATCGATATGAATTCAGATGGATCAATAATCAAGTTTTCAGATTGCATCAGTTTACTTGTTGGACTGAGGAGGGATTTGATATGTGAAAAAACAATTGTTTCCAGAACGGGTTTTTCGAGACAATCGTATAACTCCATCACTTTGTTCGCAGGAGTATTTTTTCCTTCCAAATGGATTTTTTGAACATTTTGGAAACACGGCTCGGAAATGACCATTCTGATGTCGACCAATATATTCAAATCGATCCAAACCTTATTGATTCTAGCTCTGACCATACTCAAAAAGTAGTTGAAGAATTTGGAAGCATTTTCGTATCCAATAGTACCCAAATAAATTGAATGTTTTTCTAATTGGTATCTGAAAAAAAGGAATTCAAATAATTTGACAGGAATGAATTTGGTAACTTACCGGCAGTTATAAACAGTGTCTCCAATTCGAACACTGAAGTTTTCCGATTTTCTTTCGAACCACTTGGGAGACGGTCGGAAATTGACAAACAGGATTTGTTGAGACGGGAATTTCACTGCGAAATAATTTTCGCGTTTTCTACCAGATTTATTTACGAACCATGCGTCTTCAATTGCAAATGATACTCTTTTGATTCGATCTCGCGTTTTTTTCGAACAAAATGATAGAGAAACAAGGGGGACTGGATCCAATTGTTTAATTATATTCTCGAGAACTAGGACAGGGTATTTGAATAGTTTCATTGTGTTTAAAATGATTGAACAGTGCGCACAGTCAAATGATCAACATACAGTGAGGGGCCGTCTTCAAACAGAGGTCACTATCCTCAATAGAGCACGTTTCCCCCTAATGGTCCGCTCACTTTATAGTGATTGATTGACCTACATACATATCTTCTTCGTGACTACATTCAACCATTTCAACCACGATGAAACTATTCCATTTTCCTGTCCTAGTTTACGAAAATATAATCATACTTTTGGATCCAGTGCCCCTTATTTCTTTATCATTCTGCTCCAAAAAAACAAGAGAACGAATCAAGAAAGTGCCATTTTCCATTGAAGATGCATGGTTTGGACATGAATACAAAAAAGAAAGAGGCTTGTTTTTTGAAATGAAATTTCCGAGAACAAATATCGAACTGATTGTTGATTTTCAACCTCCACCCGAAGGAATCGAAAATCAATTGGAAAGTTTGAGTGTTAAAATTGAAGATATTCTTTATGACTGTCGGTAAGTCTATAGGCATAGCATTTGAGTCAAATATAGCAGTTGATTACACCCATAGCAGTTGATTATCTACCTGATCTGCAAGCGCACCGCCGTGTCCACCACGTCCGATTGCAGAAAATTCCACACAATAAAACTACCGTACTCCCATTCACCCTCTTTTTCAACTTCCAGATACAAAATTGATGAACAAAAAGTGTATGTGGACTGTGCTGAATACGACAAAGCGTTCCTATTCTTCAATTACATTTTGGATCTAGTGAGAGCTGGAATCACTCATATCACAATCAACCTGAATAAAATTGTTGATGCGAAACAATTCATCTCGAAGCCATGTTTCGAAAGTCTTCGAAAAGTTTTCGTGATAGGATGTTATGCTTTTTCGAAAAAAACGACAGATCTATATGATCATTTTGAGAAACCATTACTATATGCACGATTTCTTCCAAAATTATTCACTGGAATCAGTCCGAATTGTAAAATATTTCAAGCTGATCACCTATTATTCAATCATGCATATCAAGTAATCGAACGAGAACATCTTCTGAATCTGACCGGGATGTACATTTCTTTAAGAGTTTCTACACTTGATACAGATGATATTATTGCATTTTTGAAGCAATGGTTAGAGGGAAATAATACTAGATTGTGTGCATTCAGTATACATTCAAGATGGGAGAATGGTACTTTTGATAGACAGAAGATTCTGGAGGCAGTTGGTGCCGGACCATGGGATCCTACGAAGAGGTCGCAGAACTTCATTCATGATTCATTGTGAGTATTCAGTAAAACTCTCTTGTCTGATATTCAGTTTTCAGAATGTACAATACCACCGTAATCGATTGTTCCTATTTTGACGATATCGAGAGAAGCGACGGTTTGCTGGGGACACTCCACTTCACTCCCTGTAACCGTGCTTTTCATTTTTACGTTTGGCATAACAGATTCAATAATGCTCGCCCTAATACGTTATGAAGTACTTGATTTTGATGATATAAAACTTTATTGGTTCATCGGTATTCCAAAATTCGACCAAATGTTTTTTTTTTCATCTACAGTACCGGCCATATTTATACGAACTTTAAAAAAAACTAATAAAGTTTTATCCCACCTCAGAATCGAAACCGTTATCAATTTCCGGGCAGGGTCGAGGGAAAATTTTTCAAGGCCCTGCCCGGATTCAAAAATTTCGCTTTTTCAAAATCTTACATTTTTTTCACTGATCGTCGCTTATTATGCTTCAATAACCTGAAACTACCAATCTATTGCTGAATATACAGTACCGGCCATATTTATACGAACACCCTCCGCTTTCCAGTGGATTTTAGTCAACTTTGAGCCTTTACCTCTTGGATGTCTTTAGAAAATAGATCCACATCATTATTATAGTATGTACATGTTTCACCTGAGCCACCTATTTCATTATCATGAATTCCCCACCACCCACTGACGAAACCTTGTATCGGTCAATGTAGT